GAACCCGCCGCGCAGGGGCCAGCGCTCGGCCCCTCTATATCCGCGCGTGCGGTATCCGGGGGCGGAGGCCGGCCCGCGCCCTCCCCACCCAGCCGGCCCGCGCCTCCCACGACACCTGGCCTGCGTGAGGCTTCCCCTCGCTCTCTCCGAAGCCCCCCTGGAGCCGGCACGCCCTGGGGTCCCAACAGGTGCCCGGCGCCCGGGAGCCCCAGGCCACCCTCCGGCGGTGGAGGGGGCGACCTCCTGTTTGCACATCCAGCTTACCCGTGGACAGGGTCAAGCTGGCCTTTTTGCAGCGTGGAAGTGGGGGAAGGCGAACCTGGCCAAGGCACGGGTTCAAGGCTGGGAGCCGGCTCTCGCCCCGGGCCCGGGGCCTTTCCTCACTAGAGATGTAAGCCCATCTCCCCTCCTCCGGGCCTCGAGCTCCTCATCTGTGAAATGGGTATGATGACTGGATTTCCTCAGAGATTTTCGTGCGGGTGAACCGAGGGGGTGCTGGCCAAGCCAAGCCCGCTTCGGGAGAAGCGATCAGTAGCGTCTGGCTGGGAGACCTGAGCCCCATTTTTCTGGGCTGGGAATGGGAGTCGTGGGAAACCACCCTGCAAGTCCCACCCTTGCAGTTGCCAGGTCTGGTGGGGACCCGAAGCCTCCGAGGCGGGGCGCAGGCGCGGGAGCTGGGCGAACAGAGCCCCCGGCCGGCCGCTGGGAGAAACACCCTCTTCCCGCCGCGCGTTCTAACCCGGCCAGGGGGCGGAGAGAGGGAGGGGGCAGCCCCAGGACAAAGGGGTCCCGGCGCTGGGACGGGCTGAGCATTTGCTTCGGGACGTCTGTCTATTCGGTCACTCATTTTTCAGAAGAAAATACTCTGGCCAGAGAGCGGAAGGGACCTACCTGCCGGCCCATCAGGCACCCCGTGTCCTAGGGATCTGGATAGCTCCCCAGAGCCAGACACTGGAGCTGGGAAATACTACAACGACCCGCCTCTTGGCAGCAATTTCCCAAAGGCCCAGGTCTAAAGGCTGGGCTGGCGTGGCAGAGGGCTTTGTCTGGACCCCTGCAAACGGCCCCCCACACTGGAGCCCCTGTGGGACAAGTCCTCACCTGGCTCACCCCGCAGATGGAGGGCCAGATCTGGGGCAGACTTGCTGGGCACCCCTCTCCCCGCACACCACTGCCCTCTCAGAGTCTAAGTGTGTCCATGTACAGAAGGAAAAGATAAGGTCCTACAGACAGGGTTCTGGGAGGTTCCATGGCTGAATCTTGGTAAGAAGGGAGGAGAGAGAGCCAACACTGAGTTAGTTGCAGACCCACCCCCCCAAATCCCAGGCCTCTGAGAAACAAAAGTATTTGCCAAAACCAAGGGGAGGAGGTTACTGCCTCTGAAAGCTCCCGGTCAGGGAGGACCCTCAAAAAGTGGCAAACAGGGGAGTGAAGGCAGTTTGAGGGTGAGTGCCACGCTGGTGGGTCCCCAATTTTCTCCTGCAGCGGAGAGCCCAGCCAGGTCAGCTGAACATGGCTGAGGAAGACCCAGCAGTGTAAGCACAATTCAGGGGTTCAGGGGAGGTGGGTCTGGGCTCTGCACAGGCTCCCCAATTCCCCACCCCTATTCCCCGGGGTTCCACTATGCCAGTCTGGAAACTCTGGGTTGGCCTTCCAGACTCCACTGCACCCACCCTCACACTCCCCATACAGCAACCAGAGCCCCTCACCCCCCACCCTGAGAAGCAACCTTGGACCTGGCCCAGCCACAGAACCCGACTGACAGATGGACACTGGACACAGACTTGAGAACCCACAGACACACAGGGACAGCACAGACATGCAGCCGGGGAGCCCCAGAGACCCAAAGACAGGCGGAGGGAGCATGGAAGCCCTCGCAGGCCACTAAGCTTGGGCCAAATCAGTCCTATGAACCACCAGCCACAGTAGACATTGGGGCACCCACAGACCCCCGAGGGCCTGACCCCCTAGGCCTGGCTCCTCCCACCAGCCACCCCGGGGGGAAAAAAGGGGGAAGCGTGGTGGGAGGGCAGGTCTAGGGATATCTCTGGCCTCTTCCCTGCCCAGAGCAGCGGGCAGCGGTCACTCAACAGAGCGGCAGTGGCCGGCCCAGGCCGCGGGGAGGCAATGAAGAAGGAAGGCTGGACAGTAGAGGCCTGGGCCCAGGCCCTCACTTACGGAGCAGAAGGCGAGCTCTCACGCTGGATGAGGGTGGACAGTGGGCACCGGGGGTCCGAGGGGAGGCTCTGGTGGCCCAGTGGGGCAGGGGAGACCGCGGCACACGCAAGCTCCTTCACGCCGCGGCGGGCGGCGGGCGGACAGTAGGCTGGCCCTGTCCGTCCGTCCTCCTCCTCCCCGCCCTGGGTGGGGGGGCACCGGAGGCCCAATTGGTCTCTGCCCCCACGTGACTCCGCAGGCCTCTCTCCTTCTTTGTTGGTGTTTCTCTTCATTTAGCTTTATTTTTTTCTTCTCCTAAAAGAAAAAAAAAACTACCCCTATCTATCTGGGGGCCGCGGGTGGGGGCGGAGGCCAAGGCACTCTGGAGGCCTTGGCCAGCTGGCTGTTCCAGGCTGCTGTGGGGGCCCAGAGGCAGGGACCCCACGTAGGCGGGTAGGCAGCCCCGCTTGTTAGCGACTGGGTGGGAGTGGGGCCTGATTTATGGGCTGCTCCCCCACTGGCCTGCGCCGGCCTCTCTCCCCGTGAATGGCTACCGCCCTGGGCCTGGCCCTGCAGGGTGCGGGGTGCGGCCTAGCCCAGACATGGGAGTGGAGGCGGTGGCATAGGTGTCTTGACCAGGTGGTCCTGTTGCTTTTGACCCGGTCTCTATACTTCGGGAAGGTGAAGCGAGGAAGCGGGGGGGCGGAAGGCCAGCAGGTGAGCTGTCTGGACACCTCCTGTGTGCATGTCCTGGCTCACGGAGGTTGCTTTGCTGACACTCTCAGCCAGTAGCTGGGCAAGCCAGTACTGAGGCGAGGCTGAGGCGAGGCACCCCAGGCTGGGTGGTGGGGCCTGGTGGCCCCAGGTTGGACCCCGAGGGCAGCTAGGCCAGGATAGGGCAGGGCAGAGGGGTGGGGACCGGGGGACTTGTCTAGAAGGTGCCTGGCATGTCCCTGTCCCACCTCTAGGCCCAGGCAGCTTCTGAGCAGTGGTGGGCCTCAGGGCCTCGGAGCTGGGCCCAGCAATTTGGTGCCTCCATTCGTGCCCGGTTCTCGGCAGGCCCTGGAGAAGAGGGAAGACCTCGGAGTCCTGGAGGAGGGGATTAGTGGGCATAGCCACCCCGTTCCGCCTTCATTTGAGGAAATGGGCAAATCGGCAGAACACCTCACTTACCTGACAGGGCGAGAGGGATTTTTTTTTCTGGAGAACTGTAGTCAACTACATTTAAATTGTAGTGCATCTTCCTCACTGTGTCACTTAAAAACACTTTTTACTCTTTGGTGATGGCATGCGGGTGATTTGGTGAAGCCCACGGGGATTACAACTGAGATACAAAAAGACACAAAATGATGTCAAAACAAACTATTATGTTATTTTAAAAAAAAAACATTTTTACTGTCAAATATATACAAGACAGCCATTTTATAGACCATGTACAGAGTGAGTCCTACTGCCTAAATGCAGCCTAATCCCACCTGTGGTGTGACATTATTTCCATATGTGTGACCTCATAAATATGTTTTCTTCACTCAGGAGTTTTGACAACACATGTATCTCTAGCTTATGACTGAACCTGACTAGTGGCCTATTATAATGCGACACAATTATTTAGTTCTGGATTAATTTCACTCACTCATCCATTGAATTTTAAAGAGAGGGGCCTCCCTGGTGGTGCAAGGGGTTAAAGCGCAGCACTATGAAGCTGTCTGCAGCCACTGCAGCACGAGTTCGATCCCCAGCCAGGACGTGACCCACGGAGCACGGCAGACCTCTCCTGTCTCCCCACTGCTCCCCTCAGCAGTGTGCTTCGTCGATCTGCCTGTTCTGCTCCCCACTCTGTTCCTGGTGACTCCTGTCACTCCCCACACCGCTGGCCTGTACCCCAGCAGTTCAATGCAAAAATTAAAAAAAATAAATAAAATAAGAAAGAAATATCCCAGCAAGTACCATGTCTCAGACGTGGGACAACAGTCATGGTTCTTGGCACCCCGTCAGGTGGGAGATTTTGTGAAACGGGGCCCGTTTGCCCTGCCTGTTCCCCCACAGGCTGAAACAGGGCTTTCAACGCCACGGTCTCGGGGAAAGCCCCAGCCTGAGCTTTCAGTCTGCCCGTGAGGACGTGAGGCCTGGTGGTAGAGTCTGGGGGAAATCCTGGTTCTGCTGCTCCGTGCCCTGGGCCTGTTCCTTACCTCTGAGCCTCACGTCCCTTCTGTAAATGGCAAGGGGAGGGGCTCCATGGACCACACTTGGCAGGTGGCTACCTGCATGTTGTGTTTGCTCGATAAATGTCAACAAACACAAACAACCCCTGAAGGCCTGACGGGTGGGTCTGTCCTTAGGACCCTCTGTGCGCTGTCTGTTACGACACCACGAATGCTCTGTGCCCTTCGGTGATGGAGTGACTCAGCCCAGCCTGGGGAACCCTCAAGGAGAGGCTGAGGGCTCATTTATCTCTGGGTGCACAGCAGCCAGCCCAGAGCAACATCGAGTTTGCTGAGTGACTATTCGCCCAGTGCCCAGGCCCACATGCTGCCTGGCCTTCCTGTCCTGTCACCTTCTCTGTTGACAACTGTCACTTCCCACCGCTCGGGTGGGACCCTCCACTCCTGCTCCCCTAGGGTTTGTTCACTGTCACCCCATCCTCTTCCCCTACGCGGCCCTGGCTCTGCCCTCGCCCTGACTGGATGAGGCATGAGGACATTGGCAAGGCCCTCCCCCAAAAGTGCCCCCTGGGCAGGGTCCACTACTAGCCATCCAGGCCCCAACTCTCTCCACCATTCTGGGAGGTGGGTGGACTTTCTCCCTCACTTTTCATGAGCAGCATTTGACAGAGAAGGAAACTCGGCGTAAGAGAGGCGTCGTCCCAGAGCCACCACGTAGGATGTGACGGACTTGGACTTTGGGTTAGTGTGGGCAGGAGGAATCCATGCAGGCTCAGTTCTCTCTGCTCTGCCAGGGTCCCTGGGGGCCCTTATGCCTTTCCTTCAAGCTCCAGCCCAGGTGGTCCCAGGCCATGAGACCCATCCAGAGGGGAAGGAGAAGGAGCGTAGTCCTGACCCAGGTCACCCCCCACCACCTCCGCACCCCAAGCAAACAAAGCCCAGGGTCTCTCCTCTAAGTGGGGACTTTCCCAAAGTGCCAGGCCTGTTTCCTGGAAGTGGAACAAGGAACAAACAAAACAGAGACCCAGAAACTGAAATGGAGAGCGACGAGGAATCATCAAGCTGGGTTTGGGGTACAGTGAAAAAAAGACAAAGAAACCATAGAGAGAAGGAGGCAGAGAATAAGAAACGGAGACCCGTGTCAGCATAACAGATTCAGACACGGTCAGTGAGGGAGGGAGGGCAGGGAGGGAGGAGGCAGGGGGAGGGGGAGGGAAGGGAGGAGAGGGACTCCAGAGGAGAGGAGGAGAGGGAGGAAAAGGAAGAGAAAGGGGGAGGGAAGGAGGAAGAAGAAGGAGAGAACAAGGAGAAGGCAGGAGACACAGGCACAGGAGAGAAAGGGGCAGGGGGTGGAGTGAGGGAGCTGGATGGGGGACCCCTCCTCGGCAGTGGAGGGGTGGAGCTTCTGGCAGCAACAGAGGCTGTTTCCGCTGCACCCCTTATCAGCCTGCTGCCAGATGTTCAGATCCGATGCCAATGTCAGAGAAGTCCGCAGCGCTGGGTCAAGGCCGTGGCCGGCGGGAGCTCAGCTGCAGTGAGGGGAGGGGCCGCCACGCAAGAGACCTGCCACGCCGCCGCCTCTGCCTGGCTTTCGCCAGGCTGGGCTCACCTGGTGGGGGGTGGGATACCAAGTGCCTCTGGCCACCTATCTGGGCTGTGGGCAGGGTCTGGAGGCAGAGTGGAGTGCCTGGCAACGTGCGGACATGTGTGTCTTTGCACAGCCCACGCTGAGGAAGCACATGGACACATGGACACATGCACACTGGCCACAAGGCCACCTGGACACAGGTGGGAAGCTCCTGCACACAGCCTCTGCTGGAGCGCCACCCCTCACCTGAGCCAGATGGCAGTTCTGGCTGGAGAAGGCAGGCTGGTAGCTGGCTGGGACACTCAGAATCTGCATGCCATCCCTGGCACGGCGGAGAGGGCTGGACCTTCTGGAAAGGGGGCCTGGAGGCGCCTCAGGAGGAAATGCTGGCCTCCCTGCGAGCTCCCGGAGTGTGCAGTTGCAGCTGGGGCTCCTTGCTGGGGGCGTTTATCTCCCAGCGCACACGCTTGGCCCTCAAGGGGTGACCCAGCCTTGCTCCCCACATTCCTCTTTAGCCATGCAGCTGGTGGGCCCCCCACAGCTCTGGGACAGGGCTTGTGCTTGGGGGGTGGTCAGGAGCAACCCCTCAGAGCCACCCTGTGCCCTCCCGGCCCCGACCCTTTGCAGGCTTTGCTCTGATGTCTCTCAACATTGGGTTTTCTTCTGCCACGTGAAATCTGTGTCTATCACTCTTTTCACCACCATCTTTCTCTGGTTTGTTTGCTCCAGTCTCTTGGGCTCTCTGATATGTTGGGGGTCTCTGCATGGGACCAAACCTGGGGATACCTCTGCTCTCCCTTCGGGCTCACAGGGGCCAGCCTCAGGGGGATTCAGGCTGCCGGTGAGAGGGCCAAGGGCCTGGGGCAAGTGGTCTTGTCCTTGTAGCGGGTGGACGGGGACAGCCCAATAGTGGACGGGGACAGCCCAGGCCCCCTCCCACGCACTTGCTAAGACTCAGCCCAGCTAAGGGGTGTTGATCTGGGGCTCATGCTCATGGGCTCCCCAGTGCAGTATAGAAGACTGGGGGTAGGAGGAGGAAGCCAAGGCTGAGGTCTCCTGGCCTGAGGGCCTCCTTCCTGTTTGTAGGGAAGTGACTGCCTCAGAAAGCTGCTCAGGGGAGAGGAGGGAGGCCATGGCGACTTCCGGGAAGCTGGCCAAGGGCCCGAGGTCTCCCTCCCTGTGCCCACAGGGGCCGCGGCCCTGGCTGAAAATAGTGTAGTTCCTCTGCCGCTGCTGCCAGGTCCAGCCCCGACTTCGTGGGCTGCTGGCTGCTGCCTTAGCCACCAGCTGAGGCCCAGGCGGAGGAACTGGCCAACTCGCCAGCGCTCCCCGGACTGGGGCTGAGGCTGTTTTGGCAAGGAGGGTGGGGGAGAGGAAGCAAAGATTCCCAAGTCAGAAAGCCTGGATTCATCTTCGCTCCAGCGCCGACCAGCTGTGAGACT